CACCCATTGTGGGAAATCTCTGGTGTTAGTTGTCCGTTTAATTCATTCAGCTGTCTCATATTTATTGAACTGGGTTAATCAAGCGATTGTTCAGGCATTGTATTCTCTGGCTGGTGATTCACTCGTGAAAACGTTGAGGCTCTCGGAAGAAATAACTTTATTGGGGAAATTTTCGATACATTTGTTGGAAATTTTTATGAATTGACAGGTTGATTATTTGGTACAACCATTGCGAAAACGAATGTCTCAATTTCACACACCTATTGTAGACATTTTTCAGAGATTAAAACACGTCTGAATAAAATAAAAATTTGTCTGAATTTCACAAGAACAGGTGCCGAAACAGATTAATTAATTTTTGACTACTAATTTTCAGGAGAGTGACACTGAATGCGATTTGAGGAGAAAAAGTCATGAAATTTCAGGTTTCACTGGAGAGTCAGTAAAATTCCAGAATTTTAAGTAGCATAAAGACGAGAATTCCGTAAGTTATTTGAATTTTCAGTCTAATATAAAAATTCAGTGCCAAATTACATTGAATTTTCAGTGAAATCTGAAATTTAATGATTTTTCCCCGTAAATCGCATTCAGTATCACTGTCCTAAAAATTCAAGACTATATTTACCGGAATTTTATGGTTTTCTGTTCATTTTCAGGGGAAAAAAAAAAATTTACAGTTCTCTTTGATTTTTCCACGAAAATCTGAATTTTCAATGACGAAATTCCTTGAAATTTCAGTGGCAATTAAATTCGATAAAACAATAAAAACGAATGTCTGAATGAATACCTTTTGTAGACATTTTTCAGACACTAGAAAACGTCGGAATAAAATGAAAATGTGTCCGCATTTCAGACGAAACTTAATTCATGTTTAAAATTCAGACAAATTGTCATTTTATTCAGACGATTTTTAGTGTCTGAAAAATGTCTACAAAAGGTGTGTTAAATTCAGACATTCGTTTTTGCCGTGTATTATAATTACAATCATTCTTTCCCAGAAATTATTCTCGCGGATATTTTGAAATGAAGCCCTCGGTTGAGTACATGAAGAATAAAACCCGCGAAACATCCAGACTCTCCTCCCGACCATAAAACATATTCATGTATTCAAATGATTATATCATAATTTCAGGCCCAATAAACCATCGGGCATTGCTTCATAAAGCGCTTCACGAGGTGGCAACTTGCCGTGGAATTTCAAAGAAAAAAAAAGTACAAAATATATTTTGAATGCAAAGTGTCCCATGTACATATAGAAAATAACCACTTAACTCGTTATACCGAGCATGGCCAACTACGTGGCTTCACGGAGCATGGTAACAGCTATCCACCACGCGTGTTACATTGCTGAAACGTCATTAAGTGCTACATGAAGGTGAATAAAAAATTATCTAAAAAATGGCTTATAATAATGAAAACAGCGGAAATGACATCGCCCACCAGACGCATCGCGAGACCCTGTAATAACAATTATAAATCTCACTCTCGTCGTGTCTGAACCTGAATTCACTCAGCTATTTCACTCGCGGAGTCGCGCAGCAAAAAGCCGGGAATCACTTTAATTATCCCCCTTCCCCCCACCTGGATACACTGGGGGGTTTTTACTCCTCCCTTCGGTGTATCACTCCGGGCTTTGTTCCTAACTGAGGCATCAAGTGGGAATTTTTTGCACGTCTATGCTAGTTTTATTGGGGCTCTCTATGTCTGAACGGAATTAATTGAGTTAAATGCTCTGAATGAGTTGTGCAGCGACAAGAGCCGTTGCAATGAATTTTATAGAATTAATAACTAGTTAGGCGTTCATTATAGAGAGAAATGAAGGATTCGAATTTATGATTTGAGGGAACAAACGGGAAAATTTGATGTACACTGAGAGGAAAACGACAAAGTGCTCAGTAGAATACCGTGTGGACTATATGGAATAACAGTCGAATAGTGCAGTTCTATTGGCTGACATTTGGATGAGGAAAATTCCCAGTGAAATCTGAAATTTCATGATTTTTTACCACTAAATCACATGTTCTGGTTTTCTATTAATTTTCAGGGAAAAATGGAGCTGAAATTCACAGTTCTCTTCAATTTTTCCATGAAATTGTGAATTTTCAATGACGAAATTCCTTGAAATTTCAGTGGTAATTAAATTTGACAAAAATTTCCAAAACGTGTACCGGGAATTTCCGATAAAAATGTTCAAGAGTCTAAAATTGGATGTAAACTTAGGAGGAAAGACGAGTGGATGTAATTTTCATTTGATGAAATACTTTTTGTTCTACCAAGGGAACTGTTAGGGCACAATGGGTCCTTCTGTCAATTTAGGATAACATTTTTCTGTCTCCAATGACCAGCAACTTTTCATTTAATCACAAGATTCACTAATATGAAGATTCAGTGCCAAAATGCATAGAATTTCCAGTGAAATCTGAAATTTCATGATTTGATGGCCAACTTCATGATTTTTTACCCCTCAATCGCATTTTCTGGTCGTCTATTAATTTTCAGGGAAAAATGGACTTGAAATTAACAGTTCTCTCTGATTTTTCCACGAAATTCTGAATTTTCAATGACGAAATTCCTCGAAATTTCAGTGGTAATTAAATTCGACAAAAATTTCCAACACGTGTACCGGAAGTTTCAGATAAAAATGTTCGAGAGTCTAGTATTCCTTCATAAATACTTGTTTTTTCCTCACTAGTAGATAGTAGAAACCCGAAGGATTCAGGGTAAATGCCTGGGCACCGAAGGCGTGGATCGTGACCCGGGGTGGGTAGTATTTGAACGGCCTTCAGCCTGTTGGAAGATGCGTCCTCTCTCGAGTGCAAAGATCCCTCAAGGACGCACTCGCTACACTTGTCCTTGTCTCGTTAATGAGACCCTAGAAACCGTGCCCAAGACGCACATACATATAATGGTGACTATATACGCTCCCTCGCTTGCGATTCATCGAGAGAGAGAGGCCCCGGGTTAATGTAACACAAGCGTAGGCTTTTTCTCACCGGCCACCTGCACGTAATATCTCTAGGCATTAACTCCCCCCTAATGCACTATTTTACACAAAATAAGTGTGCGAATATAAATGCGTTAGGAGTGAATCATAAAATTACGATTATGAGGATAAATGACGGCTATTGCTCCTGACGGGGGATTTAAACTGCACTTGCAGGAATCCGAGAGTTTGATTTTATGGGTTTTGGATGGATTGGAGAAATCATTAGCGACTAATGCTGTGACTTTTATTGATGGCTCATCAGTATTACGATCTTGGTTTCCGTTTTCACAGGAAGGGGGCTGGTTTGGGAGATTTTCCGGTGGGAAGCGGTATAAAAGGAAGTTTTGCGTGAAATGAGAGTATTTGTTTCGAGACGATAGTCGAGGGCGCATGCCAGGGGGAAAAAACATTTTCAAATGAAGAATATTTCTTTCTTTCTTATGGAACGAAGATTTCTGGGAGTATTTAATATGCAATAGTACAACTCAAAGACAACTGATTAAATCTTTTTAAATTATTGATTGCTTTATTATCTTTGATTAATTATTGCAAGTGATTTTGTGTGAAACTGAATAAAGACAAGGTATTTTAGGTCTGTAGTTCTCCACATGCAGATGACGAATTTTCTATTCGATGAAATCAGCTCAGTAGCGAAGTGGTACAACGGTTCAAGTCGATTTTGTCGATTGGCCAGTTTTTAGTGAATACCTCGGAATCTAAGGGAGATTGCTAAATTTTCGTTAAGACTGTTTTTGTAGCACTCAGTTTGCTCTAGAAAAGAGTTTATTACGAGAATTTCATTATCTCCTTTAAATTCGGAGATATTCTTCAAAAACTCAACTAAGAGATAAGTCAACTTAAACTGTTTTACCACTTCGCTACTGAACTGATTAATTTAGTTGCGAAGCGGAAAAACGATTCAAGTCAAGTTGCTCTAAGCTGAGGTTCTAAGGAATATCTCCGAATCTAAGAAAGATAAAAGGTCGTAACAAAAATTTAGCTATCTATCTTGAATTCCGAGATATTCATTGAAAACTGACCAATAGTCAAATCGAATTGAACTGTTTTACCGCTTCGCTGATGAATCAATCTATTTGTTGTGCATTACAGGGTCGAATCATTATACAAGATGTGATCAAGTACAAATATATAATTAACAGTTATTTACCAAATTTGAGAACATGAAAAAAGCTCAAAAACGCAAAAGTTTACAGAATTCTATAGAAATTTATTATCTCTCCATTCTTCTCTATAAATTATTATTTGTTAGTTTATTTATTCGTTCTCTCATTCATTTATGTCAATTCATTATCATCAAAATTTACGTCCCATTTTAGGAACTACTGGAACAAATTGTCCTAATTTGATCAAATAGATAAAACCCGGTCTGTTCTATTTTTTTTTAGTAAAAAAAATTTTCTCGTTATTTATATTGAGAATAGTCCCGATTCGCCTCCTACTTCACCCAAATCCCAACCAATCATTCCTATGACGTCACAAAGATGTGGAACGTTATATAAATTCCCTTCTTTAATGAATGATTTCGTATTGTATGATTTTTATTATATAAAATTATATTTTACAAGAAAGTTTGTTTCAGACTATAGTGTTTAAAATGCGTATTTGTTGTACATATTGACGTGTTTTTTTCATAAAAACTTGGTTGAAGAAAAAAAACGTGAAGTTGTTCTGTCTTTCCATAACATCGTCCACGCACAGCAATATTTTTAGTTTTAATTATCATTTACGACGCCTCAATTCATGAAATTTACGATTAAATTTTCAATTTCTATTCTAAAATGAAAATATGGATGTGAATATTACAGGTACATCGCGAAGTTACAGTTATGAGGAAAATAATACGCCTTGAGGAAAGTATAAAACTGTTAGCATATCGCATAATTATTACGCGGAATTTTCCAATTTTCATCTCGACTTTTCCTCCTTGAGCACTGACATACCTGTGTCTCATAAAATTTTTCCGGTGAGTAGTCGTATAAAAGGAGCTCTCCTAATTCTTCGGAGACATTGAAATCTCGTCGAAGTTGGAGTAGAAGTGAGAGTGACCCTCAGATTAAAAAATGAAACTTTACGTTTTGGTCCTCGCGATTCTGTCGATCGCTGTGCTCGTCGCATCAGCGCCTGCCTCTTCGGAGGACTCTAGTTCGGATTCGGATTCGGCAGTGGACGTCGCGGGCACTCGTAAGTTATCCAAATCTAAATAAAATCGGAATTATGTGGTGCATTCTCATTATTCGGGTCTCTCATTCGTGATTTTTATTGTTAGCTCCCGCCGGCGGTGCTGACTTCAGTGTTGGAGGAGTTGAGAGTTCTGGGAGGGAAAAACGTCATGCCCAACGCGCCCCCCACTGGGCGGAACTTGTAATCAAGGGGCCGCCGCACGGAAAATAGAAAATGCAATGTTCCATCAAAAACCATTACTCGACTCTTTAAGTCGGAATGACAATTAGGAAATGCTATGTAAACTTGGTTCCTGCATATCAATAAATTCTCAAGATGCATACAACGCATACAAATTTTGAGTACGTTTCATGTCATCGAACCACAATGCCCTCATACATGGAGAGAAAAATTCAATAAAAATTACCAGAAAAAAACGTGATAATTACGCTTCGAAACGTAATCCGGAGCGAAGTAAAATTCAATAAAAAGTGTGAGTCGGAACTGAAATTGTACGAATCGCCACGTAAATTCTACGATTTGTTCCGTAAAAATTAAATAGCCGTCCGATGACACCGCTGTGGGGACAACAAGGCGTTCCGTAATTTTTCCCCAACGATTGAGAAATTTTACGGAACGGAACGTACACTGATAGAATGATTCATTTATTCCAAACGAGATTCGTTAACTATTAACGAATGGTTGAGTTGAATATGACCAAACAAATATTCGTTAATAGTTAACGAATGGTTCACTTGAAAGGTGAGAGTCGAGTCAAACAAGACTTCTCAAATATGCATTCGTTAACTATTAACGAATGAACGTTTGATAAATCGGCAAGTTTCTGTAAGATTTTACATCTTCGGGAAAAATTACGTGACAATTTCGTACTTTGTTCGGTGATGAACCTGAAAATTCACTGAACGTTTCAGATTTCTTGTCTTCCATTCCTATAAAAATTTCCGAAAAACGATTCCCTCCTGCGGATTACGTGAATTATTGCGTAATTTTTACTGAATATTTCTCTCCGTGTGCAGTGCAACATAATTTTTCGGGAGAACTTATTTTTTCTCTCAATCCAAAAATAAATTCTGCACCGACAATTGCACACAGACCTTAAACTCTTCATGACTGAATAAACCCAAGTTTTCATCCGCTTCCTCACTTTGCTCTGTTTTTTACTCTCCCATGTTTCTTCTGAATTCATTTATTCAGATTACGACGAGCACACGTGATGTTGTAATCGATGTTTACATTTCTCACGCATATGAAGATGATCTTATTAACATCACCGCTAGTGTATTATTTTTACACACGATCAAAGCATGAATATGAGTATGTCAGGCATTTTATGACTCATAAAACGGCAATTACGGGAAGAGACGAGGAGCATGTGTCTTTGAGGAAAGCATGGGCTTCAGACGTCAGGATGCATGGATAATTCCGCAGTTAGTTAGTGGATGTATTGGTCGAGAAACTATTGCGTCCAATTTTGTGCTACTCACGTCAGATTTATCTCCTATAACACTTCCTTATACACCTGTGATTCAAGAAATCTTCCGGTGAGGGGACGTATAAAAACAAGTCTTGTGGCGCTTCGGAGGCATCAGAGTATCATCGAGGCTTGGAGAGGCGAGACCCTCAGATTCGAAGATGAAATTATTCGGTGTAACACTTGCGATTCTTTCCGTTGTCCTGTTTGTATCATCAGTAGCTGTTTCATTAGTAGTCGAGAGAACAGAGTTTGAATCGTCCAGGGGCGTCGTGGGAACTTGTAAGTTGCTTCTCGATGATGTTTTGAATTCAGAAAGTTTACTTTTATTCGGCATGTCTCGGGTGTCTTATTCTAACTTTTTGTCGTTAATTAGATATTCTTGACAACACCGATGCCGATTTTGAGAGGAGGGACGGCGTTGGAGGCTTGGCCAACCCTTGATGTACAGATCTGAGTTACAAGGATGAGGGTCATGTGGAAAAGTATTAGTATTTGAATGTTAGAGCGAAATATTCAGCGTCATTAAAATTTCATTTTGCACATAATTATTATCTTTTTAAACATTTGTTGTTTGTAAATAAATAATGGAAATTGTGTAAACTTCCGGAATCCTCATATTTTTCGGCATGAAATCGATTTCTGGTAAATTCTGAATACGAATAAATTTGTTATGATTCCGAATACATGATTTTTATGGTGGAAAATTTATTGCTTATGAATTATTTATAGAAGGTGCTCGTAGTTTTCAAAAATTGCAATGTTTTCATTATGTCATAAATTTTTCTTGAAATGTACAATTTCCAATTTTTTTTTTCACACGGAAAGAAATATTCAATAAAAATTACGTATCTTTTCCGTAATTCCGGAGCGAAATGTGGTTGCAGGAAATTTTACGGAACTGTCACGTAATTTTTATCTAAAATTGCGGAATTTTTCGAGAGTGTTCCGTAATTTTTACTGAACATTTATTATTGAGATTCAATTTCAGGCGTACAAAGTTTAAATAATAAAACGATTGTAAAATGTCCGGAAACTTAGGGTCAAATGGGGCTTGAATGAAAGCTCAGATGTTCGACTACAAAAGTAAAAAAGCATTTCACTCGAGAAAAAATAGCCAATGTACTTGGATATCATTAATTCGATTTTTTAAAAGAAATTGTGCGAAATATTTAACCTCTTATCACCGACCGCAAGTCCCTTCCTCTGGTTTCCAACTTTCTTCAAGAACGAACCAGCCGTATCGCCCTGAATCTTTTTTCCCGGAATGTAATTTTTAAAAAAATCAATTCCCTTCGTGTTTATCACTCTCAAATTCTCTTCTTCCGTTTCCACCGGGAGGAGTATGCGCTACTCTTATAACACGAAAGTTTCCTCCAAGTTGGTATAAAAGGGAGTCTTCCTAGAAGCAGAGCATCAGACCCTCCACCAAGTTCAACTGCATAAGTGAACGCTTCAATTCGAAAATGAAACTTCTCGTTTTGACTCTCGCGATTCTCTCCATCGCTGTGCTCGTCGCGTCAGTTCCAGTACCAGATGGGCCTGATGACATGAATCTAGTCATTGCGGATCGTAAGTTTTTTCAGAAGAATACACAGAGTTTTTTTTTCATTTTCAGAAACATGTCATTGATTTTTAGGAATTTATCATCAATTTTTTTTAATTTCTTTATAGTGATGTAGCCCAGTTATTGGGTTATTTACACTGTCGTATAGTTTTGATACATTTTGTTACATTGTCTTGTTGTAAGTTACTTACTCTACACCTGTAGTTTACAATCTTTTAGGAAACTACAAATCTCTTTAATATATTTATAGTCAAGTGCATCGGAAAATTAATTATCATCAATTATTGATACTGTGGACTGACTAGAATAATGCTGATCATTAGTGATCATTAGTGATCAGCATTATTCTATCACTGAAATTTGGTAACAGATTCCAAGAAATTAGAGACAGGTCCCTGAAAATCAGGGACATTTCAATGGAAATTAGTGACGAAGTCATTTAAAAATACTGATAATATGACTAAAAATGGTTGAATTCCACTATTTTGCACTTTGAATTTAACAATTAGTGATGGATCACTAAAAATCAGTGACATGTTTCAAAATCGCAACATTTTTTATCTGTAAATGTTGGACACAGGGCCAATTTCATATTATTCAAAACAAAAAATATATGAAATTGGCTCAAGACATTGTTTTCTTTGTGGATATTTTGGATTTATTCCATTTCATCTTCTGTTTTCATTGTTAGCTAGCCTGGTGAATGATAATTTGGCGCGAGGAAAACGTGCGCCGTGGGTTGGACTGCTCGTCCGAGGACTTGCTTCCGGTATCGGTAGTTTCTTCGGCTCTCGAAGTCGACAATGAAGACCTGAAAGCCTAATTCCAACTTTACTCCTCTTTCAAATATTGGAACAACAACAATAACAATGTCTCCGATTTTTGTAATTTTGATAATGTACTCTACTGATAATTTTGAATAAATTTTGAAATATCATCGACAGAAAATGTCTACGATGTTCAAATTTCGGCACTTGTCCGAAACATGCGGAGCAATTTGTTCACAAGGAGAAAGCGACTTCATGAACCAAATCAAGTGAATTTGCATGAAATTATTTTGAATTTGAGACTTAAAAACTATTGAATGAATTGATTCAGCTAGACTTAGTTTGAGAAATCAGTTTCTTGCCATGAACAAATTATCCTCGTCTTTGGAACAAGTACAAAGTCTCTTGACGAAGTTCTTTCTCCCTCAGTATACGATATTTTCTTCTTGTTAACTGTCGAGGACAAGTTTCTTGACACAAGTGAAGACGTACTTGTCAAAAAATATTTTTTTCTCAGTGCAGTTTCGGGGTCCGTGGGATATTATGTGTCGATTTCAGGTTTTTTGGGATACTCAGGAAATTTTTTAGTGTTCTAACAGTTCGCATATGAGAAATTACTGGAAATGAAATTCTTTCATGTCGCCAGAACCTTAATATGTAGGAATTCCTTCGAGCACGGAGAGAAATATTCAGCGAAAATTACGGAATAATTCACGTAATCCGCGATGGTAAATCGTTTTCGGCAATTTTTATAGGAATAGAAGAGAAGAAATCTGGAACGTTCAGTGAACTCTCAGGTTCATCACCGAACAAACCACGAAATTGTCACTTAATTTTTCCCGAAGAAGTAAAATCTTACAGAAACTTGCCGACTTATTATGCCTTCAAAATGAAAAATTCTTGAACGTTCAACAATTTTTATGAAGCTGGTGAGTTATTTCTACGTTCCGTTCCGTAAAATTTCCGAAAATTTACGGAACAACTTGTTGTCCCTACAGCGGCGAGTCATCAGACGGGTGGTTAATTTTTACGGAACCAATCGTGGAATTTACGTGGTGATTCGTACAATTTCAGTTCCGATTCACACTTTTTATTGAATTTTACTTCGCTCGCGGATTACGCTTCGAACCGTAATTTTGACGTTTTTTCTCTGGTAATTTTTATCGAATTTTTCTCTCCGTGAAGATTAGGATGCTGAACTTGAAATTCTCCGTAGGAGAATCGTGAAAACTCGGGGGTTCCAGTTTAATTCTATGATGAGATGTTAGCATCTCAATTTTTCTAAGTAAAAATTTTCTCCGTATATTGTTCACCTTTTCGATCAAAGAGAAGAAAAAAGTTTCAATTTTCAGAGCCAGGTCATTGATTTTTGAGGTCTCTATGCCCGACTATTGAGGATTCACGGCTGTGAAATTCAACGAACGCGAAATTCAGAAATTCAGTAGCGAAGCGGTAAACCAGGTTAAGTCGATTTTGACTATTGCCCGGTTGCTAACGAATATCTCGGAATCTAAAGGAGATGGAAACATTTTTGTCCCAACCTTTTTTGTAGAGCCAATTGAGGATTATCAAAAAGGTCATGAGAGAAATTTTGCTATTTCTCTTAGATTCCAAGACATTCATAAAAAATTGACCAAAAGTCAAAATCGACTTGACCCGGTTTACCGCATCGCTATTGAATTCACTGGTTTTGTCAGCAATTTTTAGGGTCAGTATCATTAATTTGTAGTGGCATCGTCACCAATTTTCAGGAAAATGGCACAGAATTCCAGGAACCAATCTCTAATTTTTAACAAATCTACGACCAAATTTCAGTGATCGAAATCACTGACGATCAGGGCTAGTCTAGTCAGTGTCTAGTATCACCAATAATCGCTGATAGATTCCTAAAAATCAGCGACAGCTTCTAGAAAATCAAGACTTATCTCTCTCTGATGAAACCGTGATAAAAATTGACACATCAGCACAAACTTACGCTTATCACTCTCACATTCTTCGCTTCCGTTTCCTTCGGGAGAAATATGTACTATTTTATGCCCTAGAAACTTCCTGAAAATTAGTATAAAAGGGAGTTTTCCTAGAAGTAGAAAATCACAATTTCCGCGAAGCTCCACAGCGCAGGTCTATTCCCTCCGAAATGAAACTGTTCGTCGCGATTTTTGCTATTCTGTCCATCGTTGTAATTGCCGCTTCAGTTCCAGTGCCAGATGGAGCAGATGACATGAATCTAATCATTGCGGATCGTAAGTTTTTTCAATGATTCTGAGAGATTCGGGAACATTCCCATGCAGAGAAATATATTTGATACTATATTTGATATTTGCGTCAATTTCATATATTTCCTTTGTTTGCGATATGTGAACCTGGATCGAGATACACGGAGAGAATATAAAATTGAAAATTACAATGTGAACATAGTAATCGAAGCAACTTTATAATTTGATTTATCGTTACTAAATTTTTACTCGTATCAAATTAAATTTTACTTTTATTCTACACTGTTAGAAATTTGCTTAATTCCCAGTTATGATCGCGATTGATTTCTCAATGTTATGGAGTTTAATTCAATTTAAGATGACATTATTCATAAAAGTTCCCATTCATCTTGAAAATTCAATAAAATTCAATTCTTCATGGCGAGCTATCATTCATATTTCAAGGACAACTTGAATTTTAGACTTCATTATGAAAATTCAATATTGAATTTAATTGAATTTTCAATAGATTGAGAACTCAAATAAAATAATTGCCTAAATTTTTTTTATTTTCAATAACTTTCGTTGTCGTATGGACGGGGAAATTAGAGTTTCATTGAATATTCGAAGAAGCTAACTGATTTTTCAGTAACAATATGGAGATAAATTACATAAAAATTTAGTGTTGTTAAAAATTTCAAGTTTTTTTATTTGGAATTTCGAGAGTAATTTCCTAACTATATCGAGTCGCAATTTTTACTATGTTCAACAGTAAATTTTGCGTGGGGCGGGTGTGGCCTTCGATTACTGTGTTCTCATAGTAAAAAATAATTTTATATATTTTTTCGTGTATAGTCTCTCTATGTGGTTCATTTGGATTTTTTATACTTCATTAATTATATTTTCTTCGTCAGCTAACGCCATCAATCCTGACCGGGGAGTTGATGGATTGGACCGAGGAAAACGTGCACCGTGGATTGGACTAGCTGTCGGAGGGCTCGCGTCCCTGCTCGGACATGCCATCGGTCGCGGTTGACAACGAGAACCGAACACCTCTTTCAAGGGCTTAACTCTGTCCTAAATATTGGAATGAAAACAATAATAATTTACTCGGGTTTCTATAAGTTTGGTAATGTACCCGATTTTAGTATTTCAGAATAAATTTTGAGATGTTAGTACACTGATAGAATGATTCATTTATTCCAAACGAGATTCGTTAACTATTAACAAATGAACATTTGGTGAGACCGAATAGACCTTAATCTCCAACCAAAATCCATTCGTTAACAATAACTAATCCGTTCTATCAGTGTAAAAGAAACTGTGCACAATGTTTGAATTTCTGTTATTAAGTCCTTGTCGAGGTACACTTTTGGGATTTTTTAAAATAATCTAATTCTAATTTCTAATTTCATTTCTTGTGAATTTTTATCAAATAACAGTTCCATTAGGATATATCAAGAGTCGCTCAATACGTCCAAGTATTTTTATTCTTCTCCTAAATACCGGAACGAAAACAATTATAAATGTGCTCTGAATTTGGTGATGCACTCTGATGTAATAATTTTAAATCTATTTTGAAATATTGTCAAGGGGACTGTTCACAGTTTCTCTCAACTTCAGTGGGGATCAATTAAAGCTGTACAATCAAAACAATTATAAATGTACCCTACCTTTGATAATATACTAACTTGATAACTGAATAAATTTAAAATATTTAAAATAAAATGTGTAGAATTTCTATTATCAAGCCCAATTTCCTTTTTAGTTCCTCACTCGTCCCAGAAATCCCTTTCTCATCGACTACCTGCGTGTCTGACTTCCTGCTTGATCCACGATTCCGTTAGCTCTATCATCGCCCTAGAACGAATCTCTAGGTGGATGCACATTCTTGCCCTTCATGATTGATCAGCAATTTCGATTTTACTCCACTTAGGGAGAGAATAATCTACCGGGTTTAAAATTTTTCCCTCAATTTTTCGGGTAAAATACCGTCAATCTCTCATCAAGAGACATTTTCATTTAAAGTGCAGGCAATCTTGTTACCCGAAAGTTAAGTCTTTTAGTAATTATCGGATTAAATTAATGGAATATCAATGAAAGCTGTAAATTTTAGTTCGATTGATAACCACTTTCTCTCTAAATTGAATTCAATATCACTCTGATGAGAATTATTGCTAGGTTGGCAATGAAATCTCAGGAAATCTCGTGGAGAAGCGAGCGTTCTATCGGTTTTTCAATAGGCCGATAAGAAAATAAATGAACGCAGTGAATTTTAGTTCAATAATTCCCTGGAAATTGTTACTGAATACTCATGTTTAATTGGAAATGAAAGTAAGTTGAGATTCCGTTTTTTTATGCTAGAAAATTTTTGGTTGAAATCAAGTGACAGTTCCACTGAAATTTCAAGAAATTTCGTCATTGAAAATTCACAAGTGAAATCAAAAAAAAAAATCAATGGAAACTACACATTTTAGTTGAATTATTCCACCAAATTTAATGGAAATCAGGAAAATTGAAGTGAATAGATTATTAAATTCTCTGTTAATTTAAATCTTAGTGTGATTTAGTACTAAATATTCATTCTTTCATCGAAAATTGGAGTAAACTGGGGACATCTCGTGTTTTCGCTGCATAGAGAGAAAATTTTTGATTTTCAAGAACATGTCCCTGATTTTTAAAAATCTATCGCTAATTATAGTGATACTGGACATTGACTATAATAATCCTGATCAGTAATTTCTATTACTAAAATTTAGTCATAGATTCCTAAAAATTGGAGTTAGGCCCTGAAAATCAGTGACGTCTCCCTAATAAAATTAAAACTTTTTTTTCTGGGCGAAATTTCATGTTTTTTTCTCCTTTAAATCGAATTCAACGTCGCTCTCCTATAAATTACTATTCAATCGTCCGTGGAATTTCATTTTTTTCCGAGCGCATAACGTTAATAACTATCATACTCCCATTGATAAATTTGACCACCATCTACAGGGAAGGATCTGACTCCCGCCGGAATGCTTCTATCTCTCGGTTGATTAAATAATTTGCACTTGATTTTGGTTTCCACCGGAAACGGAAACCAAAATCCTGCATAATCCTTATTCCCGGAAATTTTTCCTCCGAGGAGTTGTATAAAGAGGCCTCCCGACAGAATGACAACATTAAAATCTCGACGAACCCCCAATACGTGCGAGTAAACTCAGTTTTTACGATGAAACTCGTTGTTTTAATCTTCGCGATTCTCTCAATCGCTGTCCTGGTCGCCTCATCGGCTGTGGCGGACGAACCAAACGTGTATGTACTGGGAAATCGTAAGTTTTTCAGTCAATTTTAAAGCCTGACAGAGATTTTTCCATGTCTGATAATCCCTGTTTCATTTCCGTTCAATTAGCTGAGAGTCCTGATGGATCAGACAGACTCGTGAGAGAGCAACGTGGCATCAGGGACTTCTTCGGCAAAATATTGGGCTTCTTCGGCTAAAACCAAAGAAGACCAAATCCAGTCCATTGAATCCAGTAACTACTCTATTCGCAAATACCAAAACTGTGTGATGTACTCTAATTTCGATAAAGTCCAATAAATTTTCAAAAAATTCCTAGCTAAACTGTCTTCAATATTTGCCTTTCTATCATCAACCCCAAGTCCTTTCTTTTTTATCGCTTGTTTGTCGCCGAGGCTCCACCAGCCGCAATCTCACTCGTGTGATTAGTAGAGATAAAAACCGTTGTTCAATGTAAACACAGCGTAAACTACCTGAGACCGTCCTCGCTAAGCACCTGACCTTCGAATACGTGCACCAATGTGGATATTTTAGTACTGAAAATCACAGAGTAACATTGATGAGGACGATCGACAGGCTAAAGTTAAATGGGCGAATTTTACCATTTTATAATTTTTTATACTTTCAATTCCCCTGGAATTCTGTCTAGTAATGAAACGGATTTAATTTCAAATCCCGTTGCGCTGATTTTTGTTGAATGTTATTTATCGGCAGCTTTTAACTGAGTTTGACTTGTTTCAACACCAGCTGTATATAAGAGTTGAGAAGGCTGGTCCAAATACTTCATTGTTATCCAAAATAAATCGTTATCCTGTAAGAACAGGATTTACCTTTATAATTAGGTACTATTATTACATTATATTAATCCGATAAAATTTTCCATCTCCGATTTTTATTACTTGCTATTTTTTTATATATTCTATCAAAATTTGAGGATAGAAATTGAATTGATGGGTATTATTTCATTATTTGAAAAAATATATCAATTTTAAAACTTTCCGGAGACATTGAAAAATCGAAATTTTTATTTTCTTGCTGATCATCTCTCCCTGCATTTTTCTCATTTCCTCGCAATGAAATCAGATCATGAAAACGAAAAATTTTATTTTCAAGATCTGATTTCATTGAGAGGAATTATTATATTATACTGATATTATTTAACATAAATATCTCTTCATTTAAAAATGAGAAAAATTGTTCCCACAATTTGAATACTACAATGGGAATAGAATCCAATAAATTTAATTTAATCTAACCACAAAGAAAAATTGGAAAGAAAACAATAAAATAAATTAATATAAATTAATCTATTATATTCGCTAGTTTCTATTAATATCGAATTTCCGGTTTCAAAGGAAAGGGTTTCTGCTGTGGTTTATTACGCTGATTTTCCTCCTAAATCTCTTATAAGATAGGCAGAAAGAAGAATGCGGGCACTTTTGGAGTGAGCTCGACCAAGCGATTTTGATTCGACGATGAAGCTCTTCGCTGTAATCTTTGCGATCCTCTCCATCGCTGTGCTCGTCGCCTCCAAGTGTAAGTGTCATAAAAATTCGGTTTTTGTGTACAATATGGACCCTTCCTCAATATAAAACTTACATTTGGGAATTGGTGGGACCCTGTGCCAGCTACGAGCATTTAATCACGCACGAAAAAATTTAATAAAAAAACCTATCGAATTCGTTAGAAAATTCTACTGAATTTCTGTTAAACTTTCTATTAGTTTTTGGCTAATTCTATTGACATATTCAATAGAAAACATTAAATAGAACAAGTCAACAGAATTCAATTTTTCTATATAACTTATTCTTTCCATATATTTTCTATAGAATTTGCTCGACTCAAATTTTCCAAGTGTTTTTCATTCTATTTTTATTTTCTTCTCATCAAGAAAATCAAACGAAAAAACTTCAAAAATTTGAGCCGAGAAAATTTTGTAGAAAATATCTCAATAGAATAAGTTATACAGAAAAATTGAATTCTAGTGACTTTTTCTACTGAATATTTTCTATTGAACATTTTGATAGAATCGGCCAAAAACTAATAGAACAGTTCAATAGAAATTCAATAGCATTTTCCAACGAATTCGATAGGTTTTTCGGTTAAATTTTTTCGTCCGTGATGCCTTACCATATTTGTGAATTCATAGAAAAACTGGGTTTAATTTAATTAAAAAATTAATGGCCTTTAGAAAGACGGTGGTAAAATGGGGGGTCACGGTATATGTAATGCACCAAAGAGTTTTAAATTCATAATTGGCAACCCAAGCCCGATGTTGTAAGAACTTGTAAATTTGCTGGAAGGGTACGCTTTGTACGCAAACACACAAAATTCTTGTATAATCCACGATGTGTTTTATCAATTCGTCTATTTTTCGATTAGCGGATATGAACAAACCGCTCGCCAATCCTGAGCTGGCAGATGAAGCATTGACCAGATTGAAACGTGCAAAATGAAGACCAAAATATATAATTCTTGGAGTCATCCCACATTGAAATTAAAATCGTAATTTTTTTAAATTTAGAGTTAATGTGTTTTACGTCATGTATTTTAATGTGCTTTAATGTGTTTTATGTCATGCCATGGCGTACTGTCTTCTAATCGTCTTACATCAGAACGGAAAAGAATGTAATTTTTTATAAATTTCTAATTATTTTGACTTATCTTGTGTTTGTTATCTTCATGCGTGCTTTCAAACTTCTAAAATTTACAATATGTTCCATCAGTCCTTTTATTCTTCAATTCTTCTTCTATCGAAATGTCCAAAATGAAGACCAAAACGTGTAATTCTTGTAATCATCCCATATCGCAGTGAGAAACAACGTCATTTTCAATAAATTTCTGATTATTTCCCAAAAAATGGAATCTTTGAACTTCTGTCACCAACCACAGATCCCTTCCCGTTCCCTCCGGAAACGAACTGCAGAGCGAATTTTTTCCCGTAAGAAACGTATATAGCATCAGCCTGAAGGCAGCCCTTGGCCAGTCTCGCGGCAAGACTAGTGCTTGGAACATATAAGAATATGTGAAATATTGAGCTGCAGTCGAGATGAAACTTCTCATCGCAGTTTTCGGGATTTTTCTTCTCGCCAGTTATGCATCATCAGCAGTTGTTGCAGGTGATTTGGAAATGGTTGAATCCCTGATAAACAACTGTAAGTATTCTCTGACGCAGCTAATATACGAGGCCGAACGCGCGCTACAGCGTGCTGTAATTGTAACAATCATAATTGAAAATCTCAAAATAAAATTAATCATGAATTAAATTTGCCGCCTCAGAGGACTGGAATCAATGAGGTTATTCCTGCTTATTGCGTGACAGATTTGCGAGATATTCATAGTTATCGACTTTAAGTGTATGTTCTTTTTAGAATAGGAAGGCCGAACGCACGCTACAGCGCGCTGTAATTGTAACAATCATAATTGAAAATCTCAAAATTAAATTAATCATGAATTAAATTTGCCGCCTCAGAGGACTGGAACCAATGAGGAATAAGCGTGACAGATTTGCGAGATATTGATAGTTATCGACTTTAAGTGTATGTTTTTTTTAGAATATTTCCCTCATGCTTCATTATATTTCAATTCACCTAGCTCCACTGGAAGCTGTGATCCCCAACGAGCCAATACTCCGAAGGCAACGCAATGCAGGCGAAATTGCATGTCGTATCCTCTACTTCACGCTGCCCTGCTTCATCCACAACCAGGTGAAGGGAAAATAGACGAAACCCACGCAGACATACCCCCAAACATAAACTTGGAACATCAAATCCCATCAGAACATGTAGTTTTCACCACCGCATTAAAATAATTGAGCCAATAAAATCGAAAAATATTTCTTCTCATAAAAAATATTCATGAGACTATTAACCGAATCCTTCGCATCCCACCGATAGATCGATTTACAATCGCGTGCTCTTGCTTGTTCTTTCTTAAACGACCTTCGAATCAGATAAAAATCCCGCACGGAAACCGTTCGCGGCGCTAAGAAGCTGTCGGTGGTGAAGACTTTGAGGGGTCAGTCAAGAAATTATCTTGTAGTTTAGTATTGAAGGTGAGGAATTCATTCATTAAAGTGGAGTAATCAGCAATGATGTTGTGATTTCATTCCAGATTTTTTGCTATCACTTTACTCTTTCCTGAAGATTATAAAGAGAAATGAAAAATTCGCACGTGCATAGATGGTTAATAATCTTTTTATGAAGTGATGGTTTCAATGAAGTTTCAAAGAATTTCGTCAGGGAAAATTTACAATTTGATGAAAAAATTAATGTAACTGTGAATTTCTAGTCAATTATTCCATGAAAATTAATTGAAATCGGGGAAATTCAGGTAAATATATTCTAGACTTTAATTTGGTAATCAATATTCATGTTATTTACTGAAAATTCAAGTAAATTGGAAAATTCTCGTCTTCCCGCTGCTCAAAAATTTGGAATTCTACTGCACTCCCAGTGAAATTTGAGATTTCGTGATTGAAATTTGATATTTTTTCTAACATTGTATTTAACTAAATTTGAACTAAAAATTACAGTTTCCATTGATTGTTTCCATCAAATTTTCAATTTCAATTTAAAATCCCTTGGCCAATTATTCCATGAAAATTAATAGAAATCGGGGAAATTCAGGTAAATATATTCTTGAATTTAATTTGGTAATCAATATTCATGTTATTTACTGAAAATTCAAGTAAGTGGAAAAATTCTCGTCTTCCGGCTGCTCAAAAATTTGGAATTCTACTGAACTCCCAGTGAAATGTGAGATTTCGTGATCTTTTCCCACCTAAATTGAAGTTAATATCGATCTCCTAAAAATTACTACTGACGAAATATGAACTTTTATCTAACATTGCATTTAACTAAATTTCCAGGATTTCTATCGAATTTTAATGGAATGATTGAACTAACAATTACAGTTTCCATTGATTGTTTCCATCAAAATGTCAATTACAATGTTAAAATTCCTTGAAATCTCTGTGGAACTGTGAGCTGACAAAATGTGTACTGGGAATTTCAGCGAAAAATAGTTAATATTGTACACGATTACTGAAATCCAGGTATAATTTCCCCAAGATTTTTCTCTCGGTGCAGGAATATCGCTCGTAAATAACTCTTTCCGTGACAGAGCCCCATAAAAGCATCACTTCAACCAGAACCAGAGCCTTCACCGGTCTCCCGCCAAACTAACCTCGTCCTTTTAATCCCAAAAAATGCGTGAGAATAACCCCGAGTCAAGACGAACTCCACCGTGATCGTTGGAACTTCTCTCTTGCCGCCTGTGCATCACCAACGATTGTACGGCCTGATGGACAACTGCAAGTAATCTCCACCTGTCGCAAAACAAGATCCATCCTCCGACGTTTTGGATAACTTCTCCCATGCTCCATTGTATTCCAATTCTCCCGCCTGAACTTGAATATAATTGTCGACCCGGATTTCATACCCGATGTCGAGACACTCCGGGGCGTGATGCAGACGAGATAGCTCGTCGTGTTCTCTATTTCGCTCTGCCCTCCCGGAAAAAGGGTGTATATATTAGAGAAGGCCGATATAAACTGAATACAAAAACTGTTTGTAACAAAATGAGAATGATAATAATTTTTTTAACGAGGGTTTGACTTGTTTTTCCATATTGGGTGATTTTTTCCACAAGAAAAAACCTTGAGTACAATGACAACTCTGTCCAAGACAAGTCTCCGGTTAACAACTCTATCTATACTGTTGAAAATTTTCGTCTGAATTTTACGTGCCAAATTCTGGAAATTTTTATCGTGTTCAAGTTCCACTGAAATGTCACGAAATCTTGTCATTGAAAAATTAAATATTTATTTTCCGTTCAAATGATTTGAAAATCAATAAAATACTTGATTTTTCAGTTCAGGGATTCTGTGAAAATTCAGAAAAAACTGAAAATTCAATCAAGTTGTGAAACTTCCAGCTCACTACCGCTGAAAATTCATGAATTCTACTTAAAACTTGAAATTTCATAACCATGTTTTCCCTAAATCCAATTCAATGCTACTCTCAAGAGATTTACTGTAATATCTTCCATGAAATTTCAAAAAATTTCTAATAGTGTATCTTCAGGTGTATCATAACAGCTCAATCAAACATCATCTCTATCAATGAATATATAAAATGTTGAGGTTAATCATAACATCTCTATCTGCCTCATACTCTATCGGTATGGCCTGTGCGTAACAACTCTATCGTAACTCAACCGACTCGGCATCCAACGTATCAATTATGCTGACTCGAAGGAGTATTTTTCGTCACTACACTATTGAAAATTTTCCACTGGAATTTCCGGTAAGGACCTTGGAAACTTCTAACAAGTAACATAATCACTGAAATTTCAAGGAATTGTGGCATTCAAAATTCACTATTTAAAAGGTCAGAGAAATCTGTCTTTGAATTCCACATTCCTCTGAATTTTCATGAAATTCCTTCAAAAATTCCTGAAATTCCAAGAATTTTAAAAGAATTCCCTGAAAATTCAAGGGAGTTTAGCAGTGAATATTCATTTTCACTTGAAAGTTCCTGTAAATTGTGGAATTTCCATCTCCCTGTCGCTAAAAAATTTGGACTGTCCTCAAATTTTCATAAAAACTCGAAATTCCATTGACTTTTTCGCCTTAAATCGAATTCAATGTCTTTTTCCAGAAAATTCAGCCAAATATTTTCAACAGTGTAGGCCGAAAGAAACTCTTCTGGCAATTGTGAGTTTACAATTATGAGCTAGAATAGTATATTTCGATACGAGTGCGTGAAACGGTCAAAGACCATTTTTCCCATGAGTGTCGAATCCTATTTTTATCACAATGTGTCAAATGCGTAAAATTTCACTTTAAGTAGAAGCGATGAAAAAGGTTTTTTCAGCTATGTAACGAACATCATTTTTCGTGACTTCGCAAATAGTATACTTCCTTGGAGGAGATTTGCTCCACCCACAATCAGATTGAGTAAAGCAAATGTCCCATGAACGTAGAACCAACAACAAAGGATTATTAACCAAAAAATCTCAGAATAATTCAACCGAGACAACCTCAAGCGCCTGCACATCTATTTCTCCTTACGCATAAAAAAACCGTCCACGATTACCAACCGGAAATCCTCCCCATCCCACCGATTCTTCAACGACCCCCAGACTAAATGCAGAAAGGCTCCGAGAAACCCGCGCAAAAAACGATAGGAATTAAAATGTCCCTGGAAATTCCAGACGATTGCAGAAGATTCTTCCAAATGATTGAATTTGCAGTTTCCATTGATGTCTTCATTAAATTATGAATCTCCATTGACAAAATTCTTCAGAAATTCATGACTTCCCAAAAACTTTCAAGAACTCTACCGGGAATGTCAGCCAAAAATTAAAGTGTCAATTCTTCAAAGGAATAGTATATTCCGTCCCGGCGGGCGCAAAGTTACATTTCCCTCCCGCTTCGCGGGAGGGAACTCTGACTTTGCGCCTACGCCGAGACGGAATATACTATTTTAACACGCCTGCAAAGAAAAGTTCGTATTTTGCTCTTTGATGAGCGGGCGGAAAGTCAAGACTTTCCTTGGGAGCAACTTTCCACCCTAGGGCGGAAAGTACTCACTTTCCTCCCGCTCATCAGGGAGCAAAGTAGGAACTTTCCGTGCAGGTGTGTGAAAAAAATATTTCTCAGTAGTAATACCCCAAGAGGTTCAAAATTATCGGGTATTTCCCAATAGTTTCGTAGCAATCAAATGAGGGTGTCAAGTTTTGCAGGTTAAAAAATTTTTCTGCAAAACTTGGCAAGATGGTTTATTTGCAGGGGAACTTGAGGGAAATACCCGATTAATTTTGAATCTCGAGGGGTATTTGCCGAGTTATTTTTCCCAATCGGATTTTAGCCAAGCAGAGTGCTCCGCTGCATCAGGAGTTGAATTGGGGAAGATTTGAACAAATTATGTTAATAGAATAACCCGATTTCCATAGACTGTCAAATATAAGTTTCTATCTGAACTCAGCCGAAAAAATGAAGAGCTACTGAGACATATTCAAAAGCTAGGAGGAAATATCCGAAATAAAACTGTCGGCTAGCCTCAAATCCTGCGTTCTGATTGGTCGAAATCCGACTGGGAAAAATAATCACATATATTTCCTTCATGGAGATGGGGGGGCATTGTCAACCAGACTGGCGAAAATAATCGCCCCACAAATGTAGAGCCGACCGCAAAAGATGATCAACCCAGACGTCTCCGAATGACTGAACGGACAGTCTCGACCGCGCCTGCACATCTATTCAAATAAAAAAACCCTTCACGACTACCAACCGGAAGTCCTCCCCATCCCACCGACGGATTGATTTGCATTAACGTGCTCTGCTCGCTCCTTCCTCAACGACCCCCAGACAAAATAAAAAAGCCTCCAAGAGAACCCGCGCGAATGAAACCCCTGGGCATCAATGACCTCCAACGGCTTAAGTAATACATTACCAGGATACGCAAGTACTCAGATCAAAATCTCCGGGTGCATCACAGCCACCATCGTATGTATGCAACAGCGTCTCCCTGTGAATTCCTCGACGCGAAAGAGGCCCAACAGTACGCGACCTCACTGCAGCATAATATTCCACCTGATGTCCTGGGGGTATTACTCAGCGAGGGGGTGGGGAGGGAGGTGAATCGAGTAAAACTGGCAAAGCGGACTTCATCTCGAGATCAAGAGGAGATAGCTAAACTGCTACGAAGAAGCTGTTACAAGGTAACGAGTTGTCAGGCTTCAGAGTCAATTTTTTTCATCATCTTCATCCTCACGTGATAATAATCCATTCGATGGTATCAATTCGCGCGATTGTTATCAGAGGCATCTCTAATATTTTATTCATTTATTCAAATGGGTCAATTACATACAGTTGAGAGTCGAGAATTTCTTTTCACTCTTGATTTTTGTTGCATCGATACTTTAATTGGAATTTTTCAGCGTATTGTATTGTATCATTGCTGGATGGGAAAATTGAATGTGGAAACCTAGACACGTTTTTGTGTTACAGTGAATAATAATAAATTACACTGTTGGAAATTTTTTGAAAATTAAGGTATAGTTGCACTGGAATTCTCGATGTTCTGAATTTAAATTCAATTTGAGATCAAATCGTTCGTGGAATTTCTCATTCAGGTTAGATTATCAGTGATATTTCAATGATATTTAAATTTCCAAATTCATTGCGGTAACATCACATCTAACTGAATTTTCAGTGGACTGCAAATTTAGGGAAATTGTTGTTTTAATTTTCAAATTATTCAATAATTTTCTTTATCATTTGGACCTGAAAATTGCAATTCCATGGAATACTCCAGAATTCAACTGATACCTGAAAATTTCGTGTGAATGACTGATCGTTAACAATTTGACGACTTTTAAGATAATTCAATTACACTGGTGAAGACATGGCTGAAAGCACTTTTTACAATTTCTGTAATGACAGTTTCAATAAAATTTCAAGGAATTTCGTAATGGTAATTCCCAAGTTGATGAAAAAATCAACGGAAAATGGAAATTTCCGGTCAATCATTCCATGAAAATTAATAGAAATAAAAAAAAGCTGCGGTGAACGTATTCTACCAATTATTATACAACTAATTATAAATTCAGGGTAATTTGGTACTGAATATTTACGTTTCGGTTGAAAATTCAAAAAAGCTGGGGAATTATCGTCTGCCTACTGCTCAAAAAATTGGACTTTCATGATTCCCCACCCCCTGAATCGAATTCAATACCGCATCCCCTGAAAATGACTACAAAAATGTTCATAAAATTTCAATTGTATTTTAACAATAGAAATGTAACGTCAGATTTTCACAATTAGATTGAAAATCCCCACTGAGAGTGAAATATCAATGATTGCATCGAGCTCAAGTTAAGTTGAATTCGAATCCACAACATTACAAATTCGGAAACATTAAAATAAAAAAATCCAACAGAGCTATCTGCAATAAATGTAAAGGATATTTCTTTCCTTGTAATTTTTTTCCGACCGTTTCCCCCGGAAGACGTACTGCGGTTTCCTTTCGAGCATTTATCCTCCCCGATCCCATAAAAAGGACTTGCAGTAAAACAAAAACACCACTAGGCTCTCGTGCAAGCTCAAGTACACAAGAGACAATTCGGATTTCGCCATGAAACTGATCGCTGTGATCGTTGCGATTTTATCCATCGCTGTTTTTGTTTCATCCCAGCCTGTGGCGGATACTGGAGAAGACTTGAATCGCATCATGGGAAGGTAATTTCCTCCAAACTATGATAACTTTGCAAAATAAGAAATATGAAAATATCATTCTAGGGATATAATGGTCATGCCGGAAATTTAATTTTTGTGAAAGATCGTAAATTTCTTTTCATCAAATTGGTTAATGCTTAATTTTTCGGCAGAATTTCAATTTTTGTTTCCAAATTGAAGCATTATATTCGTCAAATCCGAAATTTCCATTTTTTCGCCTCAGAATAACTAATTTTAGCCTCAGGAATTCGAATGTGTTACTTTTGACCAATTGTTTTTCGACGATAACGGAAAAAAAATGTTTAGATAAATTCAATTGTGATTTAAAATATTTTTCCCAGTGCCATTTTGACCGAGTTCGACCATGAGATCGATGGCATTATCTGTCGTTGAAGAAATTTATGTTAAAACCAATATTCAGGGAAAAGTTGAAAAATTTTAACCTTGCGACAACGGTGAATTCCATGAATCACTGAATTCCATTTAAAATAACTCTTCATAGAAACTCCATTCAGAAATCATTTGCTAATTTATCAGCAAAAATATATTGAACATGTTGTGACAAAAGCAACTTCCCACTTGATTTTTATTCTAATTTTTTTCTTTAATCCTGCAAAATTATTAATCAAAGCTTGACGATATCAGATAAAACATTTGATGTCGTATCAATTTGGCCTTTCATATTTTTAAGATCCTCTGATGTTGATGAAATCATTGTGAACCCTGAGTTTATCGATGGTGCATTGACGAAGCAGCGGCGTAAACGGTATAGGCAACCCTATTCTTCGCCTTGGGGTGGTGGTATCTGGGGTGGTCTGTCACCAGGTACTCGCGGCGCCATAAATCGACCAGGTGTGTTTTGGTGAAAAACTTGAGGATGATGAAGATTACTCCATGTCAATATTTGAGAAAAAAATGTACTTTGATGGCAATGATATCCAATAAATTGAAGACTATTTAATATTGAAACTGTGTTGTAATGGAACTGTTTAGCTTTTATCACCGATTTACAGAATGACATTATAAAATTATTATTGTGAAGATGAATGCATTAGTCCGAATGCACGAGATTGTCCTTACGGTTCGGTGCTATTGTTATTCATATTTCAGGGTTCCGTCTCTATACAAGAGATTTGCAGTGTTTTTTTACGTAAGTTTCATCTTGAAACTCTTAAGAAGCGCCTAGTAGAATGCGGGCCTTATTAAGGATACGCTGATCACAATTGCACGAATATTCCATTGATTTTCTGTTCAAATGATTTGGAAATTATTATTTTTCCCAATCGGATTTCGACCAATCAGAGCGCAGTATTTGAGGCTACCCGAGAGTTTTATTTCGGATATTTCCTCCTAGCTTTTGCATATTTCGCAGTAGTTCTTCATTTTTTTACCTGAATATTTCGCAGTCGCTCTTCATTTTTCCGGCTCATTTCAGATAGAATCTGATATTTGACAGTCTATGGAAATCGGATTATTCTATTAACATAATTTGTTCAAATCTTCCCCAATTCAACTCCTGATGTTGTCCGCTGCACTCCGCTTGGCCAAAATCCGATTGGGAAAAATAATCCGACAAATGCCCCTCGAGATTCAAAATTAATCGGGTATTTCCCTCAAGCTCCCCTGCAAACAAACCATTGTGCCAATTTTTGCAGAAAAATTTTTTAACCTGTAAAACTTAACACCCTCATTAGTTTGCAACGAAGCTATCGGGGAATACCCGATAATTTTGAAGCTCTTGGGGTATTACTACTGAACAAATACTTGATTTTTCAGGAAAATTCAGAAAAAAAATGAAAATTCATATAATTTTGTTTCTGAATATTCATGCTCCACTGAAAATTCAATCAAGTTGTTAAATTTCCATCTCACTCGCACTGAAAACTCATGAATTTCCGTGAATTCGACTTAAAACTTGAAATTTCATAACCATTTTTTCCCTACATCCGATTCAATGTCAGTATCATGAGATTTGCTATAACATCTTCCATGAAATTTCAAAAAATTTCTAACAGTATATTAGTGTTAAAAAAACTCGTGAAATTTCAAATTTGAAGATGAGATTTCCTCAATTAACTTGAATTTCCAATCAAGATATGAGTATTCAGCCCCAATTACCGCTAAATTAATTTCCCTCCCCTTCAAATTCCACAATCCCATCGTCATCCTTCGGATTGACGGAATCAAAGATCGACAAAGATCGACTCTCTTCCAAGAACCATGGCCTAAGATCCTTCGATAATGGGAACACTTTCATGGATGCAACTGGATGACTTGATGCGACTGGAGAGTGTCCATGAGTTAAAAACAGGACCAAATGAAAGCAGAATGTGATGAGGTAAATATGCTGAGGCGCAGCGCGATAGTAGTTTGTGAGTAAAAAAACGACACTTGTTACGACGGACATAGGAGAAGTAGCCCTGCGTTGTATTCCAGCTCAGTCCGTTGAACCTAACTGTCGGAACAATTGTAGTGCGAGACAAAAAGCAGTGGAAGACCGCTGGACACGGGCTCCAAATGAATTCATTTCGCCTCGCGCAATCCATCAGTGAATAATTGAATCATCTAAACGCAATAAAACCGCTTCATTAGTACCATGAGTGGAGGCCAAGCACTGACGACTGCTCGTTTACGCAATCTAGGTGTGGGAGCATGCGTCATTGTTACAATTTACTGTATGAAGATAAAAAATGGAGAAAAAGGTTATTAAATCAGGGTCCTTGTGATGGGCGTTAGACACCACAGAACAGAAAAGATATGCGTTCCCACGGGCCCGACGTTTTCTCATCGCTGTGTCCAAGGATTTTCGTTCGTTCATGCTAATCATGCGTTTCTGTGCAAATTATGTGAACAGTATGTAACAGGATAGTTTGCGAATACTTTCCACAAACTGCGACTGGATCTGTCACCTGTTTGTGCCATGATGCATTATTCATAGGGGAAACTATATCTTTAAAAGGGTTTACCGATGGCGTTTACACGCGCTATTTTGTAATGTTATTAAATGTGGAGGATACATATTGGGTAGGAGGTGCAGGTGTCGTTGATGAAAATTCACACTGAGAAAGAAAATGATTTTTGCAAAATATTCATTTACTTGGGAGAAGCGTTTATCTTTTCAAAATCGTATTTCTCCAACCGGAATATTTTCGGGGGAGCCTGATTAGGTTTCAGTTATGACAATCATGTTACTCTAGAGGATGACTATGTTGCACATGACCTTGGACGAACTCCTGCAATGATTATTCATTTTTCATAAATTTCTTATTTTCTAGAGAGAAGAATTTCGATTGATTTTTTAGTGTTGACGAGATGTTGAGAAATTATTGGAAATTTTTCTCAAACTAAAAGAAAATGAGATTTTTCTCGGATTTTTTTGCGCTCAATGTACCGAAATTGGCTGACTGCTTTAATATTTGCTAGCATAGAATTTATGAGGATATAATGTTTTTTTGACACAATAAAAACAAATGTCGATATAAAACAACTTCACGAAACAATCTGCAGTAAAAAATTCAGTACTCCCAATTCAGATTCACAGTAAAAAGTTCAGAGTGAATTTCGACTCTGAGTCGACACAATAATGAAAACGCCGCCGGAGTTTTTCGTTCAACTAAAATTGTTCCCGATTTCGCCATTGGCTTGTTACTGGCCTATCGTTCATCAACATTACAAGGATGGCACTCGATACTGCGATGCCTCAAGAGGCGTGAATGGAGGGAGATTTCCTGTGCAATGGCATGCACACGGAGAGCCAAAGAGATCAGATAGCATACCATCGAGAGGAGATCCAATGCGCGTTGGCTCGTCAGGTGTGTGTGCAGGCCTCTTGGGCACAATCCCATTAGATCTCACGGTTTAAATTCAAATTATCCATAAAGAAATGAAGCAGCCTGATCTTTAATTTGCAAAATGCACAAGAGGCACGATCTAACGAACTTGATGCAGGGGGAGGGTCAAAATACCTGGGAATCTGACAGCGAGAGATAAACGCAAATGAAGCGGCGATGAAGTGTAATAAAAAATATACAACGACGGTTGTTTGCATGAACAATAAACCATGGTGCGCCCTCGAGGCGTGCGCTCAGAGAAGGGCTAAGAAGCCTCCGAGGATCATACGAGGGACTAAAAAATTGTATATTTCGACAATAGACCGTGAGGAATTTTTCTGGTGAATATGGGGTTACGGGACGAGCCAAAGGCGATTTCTGTAATTGTATGATGCAGAACAGTTCTTCGCGGCCATGTACCGAGGCATTTTAACGTGATAAATACAAAAATAACAATAATGAAACAATAATAATAAAATAAAAAAAGAAAAGTAACGTGTCAAAATGTAAAAGGGATGCGAAATGCTCGTTTGGGAATTTTTACTTTAAAAAAGCTTGGAAAAAATCTGGAGCAGAAAATAAATTCTCCCGCTTGAGTTCTGAAAATTTTATGGATCGAAACGTAATTTTTAAGTGTTGAAGCGTAATTTTTACGTGACACTCCATAAAAATTCGCGCGGAGAACAGCGATTTATGCGAATTCTTAGCGATACATCACAGTTACGTGAAGCAAGGTAATTTTTACGTGATTTCCATAGTAATTTTCCTCGGCTTGTTTCTCTCTACAATATAACGCGGGATTTAGATTCACTTGAAATCCATGGTTTTAAGATGACAAGGCGATGAGTGCATCGTCAAACACGTAAAATTAATTTATTCACAGCGAAATGAGTAATTGAAATAAATCGTTACCAAATGAGACAAAATTTTATGACCGAAAAATTCATGACGGCCCATTTCCTTTCTGACCCCGCGGATTTTGAAGTAGTATGAATAAAGTCCAGTTGAATCGTTGAGTGTAGCGAGGAAAAATAAAAAATCGAGAAGCAAAAGAAAAATTGTTCATCGTTGATAATGTTCTCCCCGAATGCTAAATTCTGATGAGTGTAAAAAATTTGTTGTCTCTTGTGAGACTAGAGAATTCTGACATAGCCCGCCATTTCGGGTACGCAGAAACATAAATTATTTATAACAAAAGTTTGACAGTGACGATAATTTTCATATTGGGCTTAGAATTTTTTTATTGGGCTTAGAACGACCCCAAACGACCATTTGAAACTTTGTTTTTGAGTTTGCGAAAATACATAAAATACCATAAATATATTGTATCGATAAATAAACATCTTTTTTTTCGAACAGCTGAGATAATTCCGACAAAATCTGTGGGTTCAAATTTTTATTGTTGTTCTTAGAGGCTCGTCATTAGGATTCAAAGAACAAAGTTTTTAAAAGGAAAAAAATTCAATCTTCAGTATCTCTGCCAATTACTGAGTTAGAGAGTTTCGGTTGCGCTCATTTTTTAAATTTCAGGCTTTACTTTTCGAGAAAAAATAGAAAAAACTTTCAAAACTTTGGGGCAATTTTTCATATACAGAATTGGCGGATTCGCTCATTTACATTTTCTGATTTTTTGAGATTATTTCTAGATTTGAATCCTCTCCCTAACCTCGAGAATTAAATCTTCTCATAAGACTGGGGTATTTTTGCACTTCTAGATTAATTTTTGTTGTTGTTATCAATAATAATATGGACTGCCGATTAAGGACAAATTCAACGGGAATGTTTCTATTCATATTAACTTTCGTTTAGAATTTGATTGAGATTCTTATATTTAAAAGTTAAGTTAAGTTGTGTTTTTAATACTTTAAAACGTGACGTTATTTCGCATCCCTGTACTACGCGTGCATTGACGATTGGTTGAATGATTCGGCACTGTAAGGAGAATGCACTGGATGTATTATATTAAATACGTCCTTTTCCTCACTTGACTCACCTTGGCTCGTTTGGTATTCCGGGGCCAAAGTGTGCCAGTGAAATAACTGTACCTGTGTTACCACGATAGTGGTCCATGGTGCACGTATTCATTCGGCGAGACCGATCATAGCCGCTCCTGGCTTAGGTCAGCTGAACACGTTTGATGGAAATTCTATTCTCGTTTCCATGATAAAATGCCGGGGAATATAAATTCGGAATTCGATTACAGATTTGTGAAATTGAGGAAGGAAATTGAATGTGGAGCTGTAGGAATGATGAGAATGCGCGGAGAATGTTTTGGTTTTCCTTTAAAAACAATACTTGCGATTTGAGAATTTGAAAGGGGATTTTTTATTGAATTTGGATGGAGATTATTTGTTTTCTTATGATATTCACCGAATTATTTTTAAAAATGGAATTATTTTTTTTATCTCGGGAGCAAATGAGATATTCTTTATCGAACAAAATAGGAAATATGGAAGAAGACTGAAAATATTAGATATGAAATTTATATTGAAGAAGCAATTTAACTCAATAGTTTAGGAATTGAGCAAATTGCAGATAATTAAGGGAATGTTAGTACGAAAAATGCAGAGAAAATAGTTCTCAATAAGCAAGCACTTTGGCCTTTTTTCATTAGAATATTTTTCAATATAGATGAAGCTTAGAGCTTTCATTCAAGGCCAGTTTGACCTTCAAATTTACAACGAAATTATTATTAAAGTTTGGAGATCGGTCCTTGCTTGTTCATTTTAAACTGTCACACAACTTTTTTAAAAATTGGAAAGTCTAGTTTTTTACGATGATGCGTAAAATGACTGAAAGATAAATTTTTAAAAATGACGAGTGTTTATCGTAAATAATTATTAGAAATCATTTTTTCACCGAAGAAATATTTTTTTTAGTGATAACAAATTTGCCTATATTCATAATTTCACAAAAAAATTATTTTGTTTAGAGAACTCAGGTTTGAACAATTTTCATTATTTATTTACAAAAAGAAAATATTTAAAAGAGAACCCGATTTTGAGATCATTCGTAATCAGTTAATTATTCATACATTTATTAAAAAATGTTTTCAAGAAATCCAATTAACGATTTTAATAATTGAGAATTTAATGAATATTGAAAATCCTTGAAAATCCTATTCGTCAGAGCAATATTTTCAGCATAAAAACAACTTCTCGTCTGTGTGGGCTGAAGAGGGCTGAAATGAAGGGGTAGACAATAACAAATTAAGGAAGTACTTTTTTCGTTTAAATCGATTCAACACTGGAGGCAGCAAACCCATCGAGAAAATAAGTATTACACATATAATTTTTATTTTTACGCTCTTTTTACTCTGGTTACTTGGAAGGTGAATGCTTTCCGAATTTGCCGCACACGATTAGCATAAAGATAATCACTGTCTTTATCTCCGGCACGGCCCCAAGGTGGGTGACTCTTGCTAACGGGCCCATGTACCAGGGGAGCAGATGAACCGAGAGGGGTTAAAACACAACGAGACCCTTTCTCTTGGGCAATTGCGCATCTCTTGGCCGTTTGAAACGATCTAAATGAGCAAAAGAGCATGAGAAAAGATGGGAGTAGTTCGTGAAATCGTTTTGGATAATTTTTCGCCCGAGTAGTTGACCCCCTGGGGTAACAACGGAATGAATCGACTATTATTTTGATCCGGGATTCCGAAAGTAGTGAGGAATTATCCGCTGCATTTCGATATGTTCACTGTTAAAAATTCTTTCTCTTGAATTTTCAGTAGTAATACCACCAGTGCTTCAAAATTATCGGATATTTTCCGATAGCTTCGTTGCCTAGGAACGATTGTGTCAAATTTTGCAGGTTTAAAATCCCGAGTGCGAACTACACGGAGAGAAATTTTTGATAAAAATTACCCTACCGTTCTATAAAAGTGTATCATGAGTCATCGTTTCCTCATTTCTATCCCGAAATTTAGTAAAAATTAATATATGATGATCAAATTTTATTCTACGTTAGAGAAATTTTATCCTGACGCATAATAAATTTTACCCTTCCACTCCAGTAATTTTTATGTAGATAACAACGAAAATTCTAGAATGCTTGGTACATTTTATCCTACCGGTACAGTAATTTTTATTTTTATCAGGATAAAATTTCTCTAACGCAGAATAAAATTTCATCACAATTAATTAATTAATTAATTTTTAATTAATTAATTTTTACTAAATTTTGGGATAGAAATAAGGAAACGATGACTCATGATACACTTTTATAGAACGGTAGGATAATTTTTACCTCCACATAGATACTTGTCAACTGGACATTCACATCGCAGATATTATTCCCAAGACATTTTGACATGGAACCCCGTCCCAGTAACCCAACATGTTGCCGCAATATTCCCCTTGACAGTAAGAAAATGCAGCGAAAAAAACCCGTATGTTTTCCGTAATTCCGGAGCGAAACGTAATTGTTAATACTCTGTAAAAATTACTAATAAACTACCCATCAAATTTCATTTTTTATCCATTCGTCCCGCGGATTTCAGAGATTATAAAAGGGCTCGCGCAATTCAGTGCGATGTGATAAAAACGTCTGGCTGGATTCCCTACTTCACTCGTAAATCCAAAAAGATATCGGCCGCCGGCGGTTGCACGCGGGCGTGAACTTGAAACGGCCGAGTGTGGCTACGGGCCATTATGCAATGTTCTTTCTCCACTGCGCGGGAGAGTCAAGGTTAAGGTTTCCACGGCGTGTCTTGCCATTGTTTCTCACAGCGATCCTTGCAATCTTTTTAATTGCCTGGCCATGTGAATCACATGAATAAGAGGATGAACCCCAGTTTACACCTTGAGGTGTCATTTTTCAGCGGTTCTGCATGCGTCAGCATGGTTTTTGCTGTCGCTCGTGCCAATGATTTCGCTTTTATTGAGATTATGTCATTGGAGTCTCTATTTTTTGTTACCATTTCCACGGAAACTTGACGCATTCTTGAGGATATTCATTTTTGCGTGGGAAATGAAAATATGTTGGTCATGTCACAGTGGAGGGCTGACAAAAATGTAATATGTGAGGTGGTATATGGAGCTATTAAGGATATCCAAGCATCTGCTACAATTTGGTAGAGATAGATTCAACAATTTCCAATCATCAAACTTGTCAATTAAATTGCGTGAGAAATTTTTTTTAAAAATCATGAATATTCAGCGTGTTTCAAATTACATTTTGCACAGAATTATTATTTTTTTAAACATTCGTAGTTTATAAATAAATAATTGAAACAGTTTACACTTTTGGAAATCGTATTTTTTTTTGCATGAAAAAGCGATGGTAAAATTCTGAATATGAATAAATGTGTCACGATTCCGAACAAATGATTTTTATGGAAAATTGAATGTTTATAAATTATTTATAGAAAATGCTCGTAATTTTCAAAAATTGCAATTTTTCAATTATCTCATCAATTTTCTTTCAAAAGTAAACTATGTAATTTTTTCAGATTTTTAAAGTGTTTTCTAATTAATTGGAATATTCGAAGCGATAGCCTATGCAGAGAATTTTCAGTACAGAATCCCAATTTGTGAATTTTTCTATAAACTCTATACTGTTAGATTTTTTTGGAATTCAAGAACAAGAATTTACTTTATGTTTTTTGTTATCTTTAATGTGATTTGTCATTTCAATCAAGGGGTTTGCGACTGGCCATCGTCCGAAGGCCTTCAGCCTGGTATTTACAAAGATATTTAGTTGAATGTTATTACAATACACAGTATGTAATAGAGATCAAAATACAAAAAGAGGTAAATAGGGATTTCCTTTACATTGCAAAGTATGGGATGCGAGTAAAACGATTTGAAGATTTTATTGGGTATGAAGAAAGAAAGAAGAGAACAATTGTTGTTTATACAAAGGCCTATTATCAGAGCATTTAACTCAACTCAAATTGTTCACAGAATTTCTTATTCATCTGATGTATCCAAAAGAATGCCTTCAAGAGCATTAAAGAACATGAAGAACTTGCAAAGTTATTTAAAGCGCCTAATTCAGAAAAATTCGACACATCATTTTTTTTAAATTGAAGTAACAAAGGAATTCAATTTAAGTTCAAATTATTCACGGAATTTCTTATTCATTCTGGAGCATTTGTGATGAAGCATTTCCGGGACCAAATTCGTCAATAATGTAAATGTAAATTTCATGTAAACGAGGGATTGTTAAAAATTCAAAAGAATTTCCACCCGAAATTTCAAGAGGAATTTCCCAACATTCCGTGTTGTCTCACGGTTGAGGTGCTTCCCCACTAATTTTCAAAGGAAATTATCACTCCATCCACTCGAGACTTGCTCCTGTCTGTCTCGAAACCTACGAGATTGACTCACCTGATAGGGATAGGGCCCAGACCGGTAGTAGCTGCTGGCCGATAGCGCGGGGTGGCTCTTGCTGCTGCCACACATCGATGCCATTTTTAAATTGAATTTCAAAAATTTTCAAACGTCTGGTTCAAAGAGGCATTTCACATTCACAGCGAACGAGGCATTTCGTCTCCTTGCGCGCTTCTCCGAACCCCTCAACTCCAATTTCAGGGGGCAGACGTCGAGTCACGTCATATTCTCCTCCGACGTTTTACCATTAACCCGAACAAAAGGGCATTAAGTGCGCGAGGGATTGAATCGACAGGGGAATATAATGTTTGTTGATTTATGCGTAATACTGCAGTCGTAATTTATGCGGTACGCGTGTGGGGGGGTTTTCGCGTTCTCTCGTTTTATCCACTTCAATGTCACGGTAAACACTGACGTTTGTATCCACTGGATGATGAATTCACTTCTGAGTTTGTTTGATTTTTTTTTCAAAAAATGTTCAAATGAATTATAATTATTTTCAGCTGCAATCAGCTGATCTCGAGCTCCTCGTCCTCCTGAGGTAATTCTTCAGTGATGAAATAGGGAAATTGACGATTCGATTGAATAAAAAAAAGCGCACAGAGTGCGTTGATCTCGGGAGCCACTCAGACGAGTTATTAATTAATTCTCGTCTGAAATATTATCGAGTCCCTGGTCACTGTGGGATAGTTGCAGCCGCCGAACATTGACCTTAATTTTTGTTCCTCACATTTTTTACAAAACCGATGCACACGAATCGATCACTTGAGGAGATTAATTCAGGAATATTGAGGTGAAGTTCAGTGTTTCGATGAATTAGAGATCGATTTAATTTCGCGATTTGAAGTTGCGAGGACGTTTATCGTAGAGCACTGAAGGAGCGTGTGACACACCTCGCCTCTACCCCAAGACGGTTGACCACCGACTGACGACCGACTGGAGATCTTCACCGCCATTCTTCATCTTCATTCTTTACTAAGCCCCAGCTACTCCCCTAACTATATGCCTTCCTCTGCTACTCTATCGCCTTCCCGTTCGTTCTCCCCCTCTTGAACACGCATTACCCATACAGTCACTCCACCACGACCTACCTGAGAGACTGAGAAACTCGAAAATCAACTTTTTTTATTCCGACATTTCATTATTTCATTTTTTATCCCTTTACATGGAAGATTCTCGCATAAGTAATAGATTGATAAATCATCTTGAGTTGGGAGGATGTATTGATTATCGAAATCAACTTCAAAACTTTGTATAAAATACAGCGGTAGTCCTCGGTTCCACGAAAATAAAAGTTAAAATTTATTGTCGTTAATTTTGATGAGAGGAGAACATGTGGAGGATGAAATTCTCACATAATTATTTTGATTTTCATTGAGTCACCTGTGCCAACTCTTTGATTTTACTGAAATAACAGGTGAGGAATATAAACCTACTGTTTGGTTTCTTTCAATCGCAAAGTCCCTACACTGAGGAAAAAATTGCTGTTGCCAAATATATTTACTTGCCACAAGTAAATGTATATAAATATCTGTATAAGACATGAGTAAATCTTCTTGTATTTGGTAAATAAAGTCATAAAAATTTATAATCCCCACATAATTGATTTAATTTTCACTAGAGACCCTCTCCAGCTCCTCGATTCCCCAAAAACAACAGTTAAAGAATGAAAACCTAGTTTCCTTCCTCTCAATCTACCCCCCAAAGTCCCTCTGCGATGAGAAACAATCAGGGAAAGTGTTATCGCTCCTTGAGCGCATCGAGCCCGGGCCAAGGAACGGTAAAGCGGCGTTAATGACCCTGATGGGATTCCAGCGATTACAAAATCTCTGTTTAGTTCTCCTCCTATCCCCATTCGGGAACACCCGAAGTACAACCACACACTGTGCGTCCCATGCGGCGTTCGTAATCACAGCACACAGTCAGGAAACTTGAAATAGAGATGAAAAATGCTGCAGATTAGACAAGAGCCCCCCGGGTGCACTTAACCCTCAGCATCACCTGACTATTTCCGCCCGACTGGCTATATTCATTGTCGAATGGCTCTCTCTGACCGCACACCAAAACCCTGAAGGTTTTTAGGTCGAAAGATCGAGTACAACCAGTGGTCTTACGCCATAAAATCCTCAGACTCCAGTGCACTCTCGTTTTTTCCATCATTACTCTATTCACAATTTAATTTACAGCTAATTAGACCTGTTTACTACCTCCACTCAACGATTACGAGGTTTATGTGGATCAAGGAATTCGCGGGGACGCTTGACCTCAACCAAAAAAAAATCTCACAATGAACTGCCTGAACTCGATCACGTATTTATTTCAAGTTCATTTCATTTGAATTCTCTAGGGGATTAATGTTGAGAAAACCACGGCTTTTTTATATCTCGTGCGTTGAGCAGCTAGACCTCCCGTAGTTCCAGAGATTTTGAGATATAAAATGCAACTGACATTTTACATAATTTGTTTTATCGCTGCAGATGAAGGTTGAGTGAAAAATTTTAAACACATATTTTTTCATTTCGATACATAGTAAAACATTAATGAGTCACGGGGAATTGAAAACGTCTGCATTAAGACGTTATAATGCAGACGTTTTATTAATTGTCTGTAACTTTTAAACCACACAAGCTGAAGTTGGAGATCGTCCATAAACTTCATTATATATATGCGTGTAAAAGCCTGCGGACTGAGACTGCGACGAAGAATGTAAATAAACAAGGTGAATACACATTGTACAAATAGTTGCGCTGAATTAAAATGTTGAAATCAAATTAATTAATTGTCTGTAAGTTTTTAATTTTTCATCATTTTTCAGAATAAAAGGATGCATAACTACTCATTCTCATTCGATTTTTGTATTTCATGATTGAATTTAACCCCTCACGGACGGGGCCCTTCTGTTACCAAGCGTAGCGTGTGTTCAATACGACTCGAATTCGATTATTTCTAATGAATGACGAATGAGTCTCCTCCAATTATTTCATTCATAAATCCCAATTTACTCGAAAATTCTGCGGATGACNACTCTCGTTTTTTCCATCATTACTCTATTCACAATTTAATTTACAGCTAATTAGACCTGTTTACTACCTCCACTCAACGATTACGAGGTTTATGTGGATCAAGGAATTCGCGGGGACGCTTGACCTCAACCAAAAAAAAATCTCACAATGAACTGCCTGAACTCGATCACGTATTTATTTCAAGTTCATTTCATTTGAATTCTCTAGGGGATTAATGTTGAGAAAACCACGGCTTTTTTATATCTCGTGCGTTGAGCAGCTAGACCTCCCGTAGTTCCAGAGATTTTGAGATATAAAATGCAACTGACATTTTACATAATTTGTTTTATCGCTGCAGATGAAGGTTGAGTGAAAAATTTTAAACACATATTTTTTCATTTCGATACATAGTAAAACATTAATGAGTCACGGGGAATTGAAAACGTCTGCATTAAGACGTTATAATGCAGACGTTTTATTAATTGTCTGTAACTTTTAAACCACACAAGCTGAAGTTGGAGATCGTCCATAAACTTCATTATATATATGCGTGTAAAAGCCTGCGGACTGAGACTGCGACGAAGAATGTAAATAAACAAGGTGAATACACATTGTACAAATAGTTGCGCTGAATTAAAATGTTGAAATCAAATTAATTAATTGTCTGTAAGTTTTTAATTTTTCATCATTTTTCAGAATAAAAGGATGCATAACTACTCATTCTCATTCGATTTTTGTATTTCATGATTGAATTTAACCCCTCACGGACGGGGCCCTTCTGTTACCAAGCGTAGCGTGTGTTCAATACGACTCGAATTCGATTATTTCTAATGAATGACGAATGAGTCTCCTCCAATTATTTCATTCATAAATCCCAATTTACTCGAAAATTCTGCGGATGACTGCACTGAGAAAAAAATATATTTTTGCCAAATATTCATTTACTTGAGAGAAGTATTTATTTTTTAAAAATCGTATTTCTCCAGTCGAGTCATTCCCAGGCGAGCCTGACTAAGTTTCAATTACAACAGTCATGTTGCTCTAGAGGATGACTATGTTGCACATGACCTTGGATGGACTCTTCTAATGATTATTCATATTTCCAAAATTTTTCATTTTCTACAGGGCAGAATTTCGATCAATTTTTTAATGTTGATAATTATTGAAGAAGTTCACTCAAGGTCATAACTAACATGATCATATTCTAGAGCAATATAATTGACATGATTGAAACCTAATGAGGATTGCCTGAGAATGACTCGAATGGAGAAATCCGGTATTGAAAAAATAAATATTTCTCTCAAGTAAATGGATATTTGGCAAAAATAATTTTTTTTCTCAGTGTGTATCTTTGATACAGCTGTAATTTTACGTGGATACGTCTATGATCTTCCCTTTCCTTCACTGAACCTCATAGTTTTTCATTGTATATATTTATATAGGTATATGAGAACAAGTAGGGATTTCGCACTGTCTCGTCATGATAAGACGTTTTTTATAATCACGATACGCGTGAATTATTATATACAACCAAAATCTCATTTCAAATTCATATTTCATTCATGCAATAATAACGAATGTTGCTATATTGCGGCTCAGCGCTACGGATCCCTCAAAATTGCAGGTTATTTCTAAAAATTGAAGAATTTTCTCGAATTTTCTGGAAAAATCTACACTTTTCTAGAAAGATCTGGAATAGGCTAGCAAAATCTAGAATTCCGATAGATGGCGCCACTGCTGATAAGGAACCATAAGGACTTTTTCCCTAAATGTGCCCCCGTAATGAAAACACAGACGAAAATGCCTGGCAACATTAACCGCAGAGAAAAAAAGTCGACCGTACATGAAATCAAGGTGCACAATTGTTAGTACAACCAAATAACACCTCATGTCCTATGCATTCCACTGCTCTACATAGATACTTGTCAACTGGACATTCACATCGCAGATATTATTCCCAAGACATTTTGACATGAACCCCGTCCCAGTAACCCAACATGTTGCCGCAATATTCCCCTTGACAGTAAGAAAATGCAGCGAAAAAAACCCGTTACGCATTTACCATCACCAGCACGCCAG